ATTTTAAAAAGTATATCCGGCAAAGTTGGGAGAATTATGCCTATAATTTTGCATTTTGAATGAGATTTCTCCTCTTTATTTAATTTTTCAATTAAGTGATTGATATAGTCAATAAAGGTTATACTCCTCCTTTGATTATTCTTATATATTTTCTATGAGGGAAAATTTATTTATTATCTTACAAAAAAAGAAGAAAAAAAAGAAAGTAAATAAAAATTATTCTACTCCAATGATTCTCGTACTGAGTAACCAGGGGTTGGCATCTACAAATGTCTACATTCGCGTAAAAAGGTATTTGAATTAAGAGTATGCATAGCAACTTGAATAAGTGAAATGTTGAGTAATCAGGGATCTTCATCTAAAAGTGTTGATTTTTCCGTAAAAAAGCATTTTCACTATTTAAGTAAAATTAGTGTGAATAAGCTCCTCTTAGTTGTAAAATAAAAAGATAAAAAAAAAAAGAAAAGGATGAAGATAGGAGGAGGAATGCTATAAATTGACTATATGATTTGCTTATTTGTGAAATTATGTTAGGGTGAGAAATTAAGTTTAATTTGTTAAATTAGTGTATAATTATCTTTCCTTTACTTAATATTATGAGTATTTAGTATAATTTGAACAATTAAATAATGATTGTTTTCCAAGTCATGAGGAATTAAATTTGACAAAAGTGCATATATTGTTTTACCCCTTGAATCATTGTAGTTGATTATGTATGGATTACTTGAGAACAAGCAATGATTTAAGTGTGGGGGACTTTGATAAATGACTAATTTACGTAATAATTATATGATATTTTATATTATTTTTAGTCACTTTGGTTACATTATTGGAAAAATATGAATCATTTTGGCTATAATTGGTGAAAAATGCTTTTAAGTGATTAAATAAGGTTTTTATCACTTTTTACTTGGATTTTGTGAATTTTGACAGTTTTGACACTTTTTTGTATTTCAGCTATAACTTGAGCTACAATGATCGGATTGAGATGATTTTTAAACCAATTTGAAGATAAGAGATAGATCTACAACTTTGGTGAAGACAGCTAAATCCAGTTTGAAGGGTTTCCAGGTCAAAAAGCCCAATTACAGTAGCTAATGTCTATTGGTCGAAGCTGAAACAGGGCCATGAGCAGTCAAGGGTATTTTGGTCATTTCTCAGCCTAAACAAATCCAAATGAGGTGATTCTTGATGAATTGGAAAGCTAACTCAAAGAGCTACAACTTTTATGTTTTGGTGAAGAGATAGTTCAGTCTCCATCATCAAGAAAAGTTTGGTTGAAGTTGATGCAAAAACGGAGCAGAGCTGGAAATTGAACAAAAGTGCACAAAATGACACTATAGCAATCCCACCGGAATTTGGCCGGATTTGTGGCAGGATTTCTGGCCGGATTGTGGTCAGAGAAGACTGCTCTTTACGCGGAAAACTCAATTTCACCTCCACTAAGTCACATGCAATGCTAGACATGTGAAAAACATCACCAGCTGTAAAAGGAAGGTGGATGCTTCATTTCTTGACCAACTTTCATCATAAAATAGCCAAGACTTGCAAGATTGAGGGGATCCAATAGAGGGAGATACGGGAGAAGCTTGGAGCGCAGAAATGTAGCTCTTTCATCTTCTTAGTGTAGGTTAGTTTAGCTAGTTAGTTCATCCTTCTTGTATATTAGTTAGATTAGGATGAAGATGGAGATGAAGAAGGAGGAGTTGAAACTCAAGTGACATGGGTTATCTCTTCTCCAACTCTTTATCTTTTGTACTTGATTCTAAGTTCAGTTAATATGCAAGATCTGGATTTTGTGTTTATTATGTATCTTTAAAGTTTTTGCCTTGGGTTTGGTTGAACTTTCTATGATTGAACTTTCTATGATTGTTAGTGTTTATTATTTGGCTATTTGATTGCTAGTATTTGAGCAAGTTATTTAGCACTTTAGCTCTTTAAATTATGATTAATCTGGTACCATTGATTGTGATTATCTAAGGTGTTGTTTCTGCAATGAAAATTGAGATTTAACACTGGTTCAAGAAGTGCTAAACATAGGGAGTACACTCACCAGAGTAGAGGTGCATCTATGTGGTTTTGGTGATTCATTTCATGTAATTTCATTGAAGAAATGAACTTGTAGCTAACTTTATAACTATGAGAATAGGTATGGATCCGTTATAAGTATAATTGATTCACTACGAAAGTAGGATTCACGTGGATAAGAAAATTACACCATAACTAGCTTAGATAGTAGTACTCAATGATCCAAATATAGCATTTGCATGAGTAGTCAGGGATACCACAACCTAAGGATAGTACTCAATGACGTTCCTATGCATTCTGATTGTTCACTTCGTTCTTCAATGAGTATACTTTGATTACCATTAACAATTGCAGATTTTTATGCCCTTGATAATTCAGGATAGAACAGCAATACAAACTGAAATTTTATATCAGCTATTTGTTTAGAATTTTGTCCTGTTTTGGTGATACACATGTAATTTACTTTGATTTGCTATCAAAAGTGGATTGGTTGTGGTTCAATTTCTAGCCAATTCTAGTTAACCTAACCGTAGCTATTGGTGTAGGAATAAGAATAGAGGAAGATGATAGAAGCTGTTCCTATGAAATTGGAATAGGCTTGATGGAAAATGCATTGAATTGTTATCAAAATGGATTCCTAGTACAGTGTCAGTAACTATAATATTACCATGCAACTTACAAGTACAGAGTTCATGTTTCAATTTGTGCTCCAAGTTAGAAATTTGGATGAAAGAGAACTCAAAGTAATAAATGTACTGTAATAATTTGGATGCTGAAGATAGAATCAACATGCTTTTGTAAGTGTCTTGAGTCACATCCTATCCCGTCAGTTAAAACCAGTGTTTTATTTATCACATTGATGGTTGTACAAATGGACTACCATTATAATATAACATTTAATGACAGAAAAGAGATCGATACTTGTCCCTACTGAAGAAGCTGGAGCTAAAGCAGCCTAGAAGGCTAATTTTATAAACTTTTTGGATAGAGTTCTGTCTTTCTATTCGTAAGAATTCAACTGTCAAAGAGTTTTATGTTTTGTTCTCAGACAAGTATGATCTATCTCGTGTGAAAACATGGATCACTGCTGCTTTAAGTGCTAATGTCCAAGGGCTTCGTGTTTTGTATGGGACTATTCGGTATTCCCTCATTTGATTTTCACTTGTGATACTTTTAACAGAGATGGAACTCAGACTCCGCAAGTTCAAAATTCCAACTGATGCACATTCCTTGAACCTTCAAACCTTAGATTTCCCTAACGTTGAATTTCATGATGATTACTCTTTGCAATCTAACCACCACTTGTTTAACTTCCCAGTTTTTGAAGTATTTGTATTGTCTAGCTGCAAATGGTAGAATGTGAAGCTTCTTACATCGAAACACCCCGGCTTTCTAGTTTCCAGAAGTCAGACCCCATTTTTGAATTTGTGAGCGATGGATGAAATGACTGGAAAATTGAGATCTGTAGAACCAGCCTCAAAGAATCCAAATGTAGTGCGAATGAGTCTGCAAATTTCCATTGTTCTAGCCAGTCAACAAACGATGATGCATCTGTACAGTACGGGGCTTGCAGCATACTCATCTTATCCCAAGTGGGGAGATATGCTGTCAAACCTGTATGATCCTAAAAGGGTTCTCTGCTTTTATTAGATTCCTGGAACTATCTAGTGATCTTGCCAAGGTAAAGATCCTTCTTGATGTGATTACTTAAATTTTAGTAGTTCGACTATCATGTTGCCTTTAAAATTGATCAAAATTATCTTTTGTTACTCTCTTTCATTGTTCACCCAATTTGAGATTGTACCTATGAGTTCTGGGCAGATTTTGTCTGTGTTATAAGTACTAATGGTTTAAATGGTCTTCCCATTTCGGTATGATTTGTTTCCTTTTTTTTTTTTTGACGTACATGATCTTGCTACAACATATAATTTTGATTTTTTCTCATGTTGTATATCTTGACTAATTCTAGATTTATTCCATTATTTCCTAAGGTACTTTCTCATAGGGAACCACCACGTCCTCTTCCATTTCTTGATAAGCTTACCGACCTGAAATTTACACGGCTAGGATAGCAGTAGGAAGTGATGGAGTGGCGATACACTTTTTGAAAATGGAAACAGTTTTTCAATCACTTATTATTACTAGGTTGGCTTTTCAAGTTATAGTTTCACCTGCCCCCAGAAGCTAAGGAAAAACAGGTTTACGGGCTTGCATAAATATGATGGCAATTGAGTGTAATGTTTAATTTAACTCTTAAGCATTGTTTTTGTGTGTATGTTTTGTCATATCAGTTTTGTTAAAGCTGGCGATTTTCATTTTCTCTTTTGTAACTTTACGACACAGGCTTGTACAGACAATGCTGCTGACAACTACAAGGGAATCAAATTGATGCCTGGTGGGGTCTTTTGTCTAACTTGCCTCAAGATAGTGAAATTGGAAATTCCTATTATCCTAGCACAATGGAGAATTCTTTGGTAAAGGTTTTAGAACAAAATGCGACAGAGTGGAATGATTGTAAATATACATGCTGGATGACGGGCAGATGATGAAACAGGTTACAGGTCAGCTGTTCAAGTTTTCCTGAGGCTCAAATCATAATCAATGGTGCCCTTTTGGAAGTGATATTGTGTTATGGCTTGTATAATAAATCCATTAATGCTATATTTTGGTGGTATTCTCATATCATAGCCACGTGCTAGAGATAGTTGGAGAAGTTACAGCTCAACCGACTAGAGTAGCAAGTAGTTATTCTGTTATAGGAAGTGACTAGAAGCTTGATAAATAAGCTACTTCCATGTACTACTGATTCATTGGGAAAGATGAAATCAAAAGCCTTTCTCATTCTCCCTAATTTCTGACTTTTGTCTCTTCCCTAAACCCCACCTCAATTCTTTCTTAATTCTGGAATCGGGTCATAACATTTGGTATCAGAGCTACTGATCCTCGGATTCAGTAGCTTTTGATTGCCCATCATGGCCGAAGGTACAAGATTCAAAGCTCTGGAGGAACAGATCAAACGGCAAGAAAACAAACTGCAGGAATTCATTGAAGATTCTCTTCTGAATAGGAAGCAGATCGATGAACGGTTGGAGACTATCACTGCAGAATTGAAGACCCTGGTAGCAACTGTGTCGACTCAATATGGCAATCTCATGCGAACCATCAATGGAGATAAGGGAATTTTGGGTCCCGGCAGTAATGCAGAGAAGTTTCCAAATCGATCGGGTAATCGGAACGTAATTTGGTTGGATGAGCCCCATCAAGAACGTGGAGTAAGGAAGAATTTTCATGGCCCTTTCCCTAAGGTGGAATTTCCTCTGTTCAGAGGGGAAAATCCCCGAGAATGGCTAAGGAAATGTATCAAATACTTTCAGATATATCATGTGGCAGAGGAACAATGGTTCGATATGATAGAAATGCATTTAGAGGATAAGGCAGATATATGGTTTCAAGGGTTCAAGATGGGTCTAAGTAAGCTTTCTTGGCCTGAGTTTGAAGAAGGACTCATAAAGAGATTTGGAGAAGTCGGACAAGATGATGCAGTAGAAGAGTTCAGTAAATTGCAGCAAACCTCCACCGTTTTAGCGTATCAGGAGAAATTCGAAGAGCTCAAAGCCAGAGTTTTGATCAAGACCCCAGGACTAACAGAACCTTTCTTTATCTCTTGCTTCTTGAGTGGGTTATCTGAAGAGCTCAAGATATCCGTCAAAATGCACAAGCCTCGAACTCTGTCAGATGCCTTTGAGACAGCGAGAATGCAGGAAAAGGCCTTTGAAGCATTCACCAAGAAACAGAAAATGGCTTCCAAGAGCTTCGCTCTACCTTCACCTAGAGTGAATCATGCTCTTGAAGGAGCCGAGAGTAGTAAAAGAGGGGGATCTCCTGTGTTCCAGAAAATATCCCCATCAGAATTACAGTACAGAAAGACCAATCATCTATGCTTCAAATGTGGGGATAGATATGGACCCGGGCATGTATGTAGTAGGAAGGGGATTCACATGTTACTCGTTGATGATGAAGACAAAGGAAAATTGGAGGAATCAATCTTGACCGAAGGGGAAGTGATAGAATATAGTGGGGCCAGTAGTCATAAAGATGTAGAATTTTCCATCCATTCTATGACTGGTGAACTGCTGCAAGGCACTATCAAACTGAAGGGGAAATTTAATAGGAAACCGCTCTCAATATTTTTGGATGGAGGAAGTTCTCACACTTTTGTTAAAGCTTCAGTGTTCGAGGAAAATCCTCAATTAGTAGTACCAAGGAAACCGTTCGCAGTCAAGGTGGCTAATGGGCAGGTGCTACAGTGTAATAGCTGGGTTCCACGGATGACCTGGGAAATGCAAGGGCATACATTCACTCATGATGTATATGTGCTCGCAATTGAGTCGTATAATATGGTATTGGGGGTCGATTGGATGAGGGAGCACAGTCCTGTAACCTTTGATTTCAAGCATCTGCAATTCTCCTTTAATCAGGAAGGGCAGGAAGTGAAGCTACAAGGAGATTTGGGAGAGACAAACATCAAACTGAGGAAGGGAGAAACTGTCCAAAAGTTTTTGAGACGGAAGAAGAAAGAAACTCTCCGCAGGCCCTGTGTTCTAGCAGTTGATACTCCTGAGGTAACATCTCACACTGATGACTCCATAAGTGCACTCCTGGCTGATTATACTGATGTGTTTGGAGAACCTTCCACCTTACCTCCTATTAGACAGTTAGATCACAAGATACCCCTTAAGCCAGATTCTAAACCTTTCAAGTTGATTCCTTATAGATATCCCCATACTCAAAAGAATGAAATTGAAAAACAAGTTCAGGAAATGCTAGTTAATGGCATTATTCAGCCTAGTCATAGCCCTTTCACTTCACCTGTCCTGCTAGTTAGAAAAAAAGATGAAACCTGGAGATTTTGTATTGATTATAGACAGTTAAATGAAATCACCATTAAGGACAAATTTTCCATCCCTATCATTGATGATCTCTTGGACGAGCTCCATGGTTCCAAAGTATTTTCCAAAATTGATCTCAGATCGGGTTATCACCAGATCAGAATGCATTCCCATGATATACCCAAAACAGCCTTTCAAACTCACACTGGATTGTATGAATTCCTTGTTATGCCATTTGGGCTTACTAATGCCCCGACAACCTTTCAAGCACTCATGAATTCAATTTTTAGCCCTTTCCTCAGAAAATTCGTATTAGTCTTCTTTGATGATATTTTAGTATATAGCCCAGATTTGACTACCCATCTTATTCACCTTAAACAAGTTCTGGATACTCTCAGATATCATAAACTTTATGCCATATGCCAAACTCTCCAAATGCACTTTTGGTCAGCCACATGTTGAGTACTTGGGACACATCGTCACCGAGGATGGAGTAGTAACTGATCCTGCAAAGGTAGAGAGCATGGTATCCTGGCCACGACCTGATTCTGTCAAAGCATTAAGGGGTTTTCTTGGGTTGACCGGGTATTATCGAAGATTTGTTAAGGGCTATGGGTTGATAGCTAAACCTTTGACTGATTTGTTAAGGAAAGATTCCTTTGAGTGGAGTATCGAAGCGGAGAACGCTTTCTGCCAGTTGAAACGTGCCATGAGTTCTACCCCTGTATTAGCAGTACCGGACTTTACTAAACCTTTCATCCTAGAGACTGATGCCAGCCAAAAAGCTCTAGGAGCTGTGTTGATGCAACAAGGAAGACCAATAGCATATATGAGTCAGGTACTAGCAAATAAAAATCCTAGGATGTCAATATATGAGAAGGAGTTGCTGTCCCTAATTGTTGCAGTGACGAAGTGGAGGCATTATTTGATGGGAGCACATTCATCATTAAGACGGACCATGAAAGTCTCAAGTATCTGCTAGACCAGAGAATCACTACTCCCTTACAACAAAAATGGCTCTCTAAACTGATGGAAATGGATTATGAGATTCAGTACAGGAGGGGAAGGGACAATATTGTTGCTGATGCCTTGTCAAGAAGGGGTGAAAATGAGAAAATTGAATTGAATGCAATATCAGTAGTGAGGCCTGCATGGCTTCAGGAAATTACTCAGAGCTACAATGGAGATGCTAAAGCTAAGGAACTGTTGCTAAATCTGTCCACTAATGGAGTCTCTTTGATAGATTATACTTATGAGCATGGTATCATCAAGTTCAAGGGTAGAATTTTTGTGGGAAATGCTACTAATCTGAGGAGGAAGCTGATGGAATGCATGCATGATTCTCCAGTTGGTGGTCATTCCGGTAATAGTGGCACCTATCATAGAATGAAGCTGTATTTTTACTGGCCAGGAATGAAAAGAGATGTGGAACAAATGGTGCAGGCCTGTGATACTTGTAAAAGGAGTAAAGCAGAGTCAGGAAAATATCCGAGACTACTACAACCCTTACTAATACCTGAACAAGCGTGGCAGCATATTTCCCTGGATTTTATAGAAGGAGTTCCCAAATCTAAGGGGCATGATACCATTCTGGTGGTCATTGACAGATTCACCAAATATGGACATTTCATATCCCTTACTAGCAATTACACAGCTCAAGATGTAGCTCAGCTGTTCTTTGATCATGTTTACAGACTACATGACCTACCTCTTAGCATAGTCTCAGATAGAGACAAGGTTTTTACCAGTGTTTTTTGGCAGGACTTATTCTCAAAAGTGGGTACTGAGTTATGCTTATCATCTGCTTACCATCCACAATCTGATGGACAGACAGAAAGATTGAATAGATGCTTAGAGACCTACCTAAGATGCATGACCTTCCAGCAGCCCACCAAATGGAGACAATGGTTGACTGCAGCTGAGTGGTGGTATAACACCAATTACCACTCAGCTTTACAGATGACTCCTTTCATGGCTCTTTATGGTTATCCTCTCCCCCAAATTAGCTTGTTGCCATCTGCAGAAAACCCCTCCATAGCTGCAAATTGGGTGAGGGGAAGACAAGATTGGGATAGACTATTGAAAGAAAATCTGGAGGTAGCTCAGAATAGGATGAAGCAGAATGCAGATAAGCATAGGGTGGAGAGAAGTTTTGAAGTAGGAGATGAGGTGTACTTGAAGCTTCAACCAAACAGACAAAGCTCTATAGCACTTAGAAGAAATCTGAAGCTTTCATCCAAATACTATGGGCCTTTTAAAATTTTACAGAAGATTGGACCTGCAGCTTACAAACTGGAGTTACTAGCAGAGGCCCTCATTCATCCGGTATTCCATGTATCTATGTTGAAAAGGACTGCTAAGGGTGTATCCGTGACTGGTACTTTGCCTCAGGTTACGGATGATGGCACTGTGAAAGTGGCCCCTCAAGCCATCTTGGATAGAAGAATGATAAAGAGAGGAAATTCTGCAGTCACTCAAGTACTGGTGCATTGGGTGAACATGTCTCCTACAGAAGCAACGTGGGAAGATTGGACGGTACTCAAGGGACAATTCCCAGATTTTAATCCTAGGGACTAGGATTCTTAAAGGGGGGCAATGTTATGGCTTGTATAATAAATCCATTAATGCTATATTTTGGTGGTATTCTCATATCATAGCCACGTGCTAGAGATAGTCGGAGAAGTTACAGCTCAACCGACTAGAGTAGCAAGTAGTTATTCTGTTATAGGAAGTGACTAGAAGCTTGATAAATAAGCTACTTCCATGTACTACTGATTCATTGGGAAAGATGAAATCAAAAGCTTTCTCATTCTCCCTAATTTCTGACTTTTCTCTCTTCCCTAAACCCCACCTCAATTCTTTCTTAATTCTGGAATCGGGTCATAACATATTGACCTTACCCAGAGAATAGTCTAGGATTTTCAAGTGAACTTCCTTTGGAAAATGCTAAAGATTTTTCCTTGAGATTTCCTAAATTTCTGTTTTTGTTTATCCTCAGGTTTGCAAATATATATATTTCTTCACTAATCTAGATTTCTTTTTCTTTCCTTCACACTGCTTTAGTATATTGTCATTTGTTTTGTGACTTTTGTCTCTCTCTCTCTCTCTCAAAATCTCGGTTTATGGTTTATGTAGCAACCACACGTGCATCCCATCCCATATTTACCATTGATGACATGCAATTGAGGCCCAAAATCCCATGGAGTCACTGAGTATTTCACCTATAATTGAAGTAAACCAGCAGAAAGGATGTTCGTCACACTAAAACAGAAGGAGAAATGTCTATAATCTAGCTTCAGTCTTTGTCCTTTGCTCTCGTGTTAATGTTCAACAATTCTATCCTCCAAGTGAGATATAATAATCGTGAAGGTTTGGCGAGGAGAACCGAAACTGTTGTGCCTTGAATTTCAGGAACTGACCCGAATTATAACCATTGTCCTTAATTAGTGGTACGGGGGACAAGGCGCGCGATATGGCCTATACCATTTTAATTGGGTTATGTATAAATAAGCGGTTCTAGGATTTACTGTGGACACTTTTAGTCATTTTTTTTTCAGAAATAAGAATTCTCTCTCTGCCAGTGGATATAGGCCACATTGGAAGAAACCACGTAAATATCTTGTGCTTTTATTTTCTTGTATTTTTTTTTTTTTTAACTCTGGTTCATATGGCTGCTTTCGCAACAGACAGTTTTATTCAAAGGATTCTTATACGCTGTCAATTGCTTGTCATGGAGTGTAGAGGAATTGCAGGAAGATCTTCCCAGTCCAGCTTGAAGAAAGAAGAAGGCGTGTTCAAGATTTCGAAGAAGGCGTGGTCGATCAGCTTGAAGAAAGGAGAAGGCACGACTTTAAAACCACGCCTTTTTCTAGCACAACAGAATTATGCTTCTGTTATGAGCAAGTGGAGCTGATTATTCTAGAATCCCACGTGTCCTTACCTTATTGGCCTGTTTCGAAGTTAGTTAGTCCGGAAATGGCCATAAAGGCTCAAAGGATCCTAGTGATAGCTAAGTTTTGTCATTTTTTCCAATTGGTTGTAAAAGGAGATTTGGCTCTGCCAATCTCCCTCCTCTCCCTCTCACGTTTTTTCCTTCATTCTTTCCCCTTCACTCTGAATCCGTTGTTTCTGTTTCTGTAATTGATTATCCAAGTTATTAATGAGAAGCTGAGTTCATTATTTTCCTTCAATTTCCTGTTCCATTCAATTTCTTGTTAAGAACTAGTTCACTGCTGCTGCAAATAATCTGTCACCATTGCTGTAATCTGGTTCTATACCATAACATTGCTTCAGGGTTTGCATTTATGTGAATGTAGCAGTTAATAAGACTCGTGTTATAACACCAATTGCTATATGATAAAGTTATCATGGAGTAATGTGAAGGCAAATAATTGACCTGAACTCGAGCCCTATAACAAGAGCATTAGCGCTTGTTATGAATTATAAACGTACTTAAGTCCTTACCTGCAGAAGTATATCATAATGCAAAGAAGGATTGGTCACACTGTCTTCTGCCTGTTTCGTTTCTTTTCTTCAGATTGTCTGCATTGGAGGAGATATCGTAGGTGTGAGATTGTACGGCTGTGTTTGCACATCAACCGTGAGTTCTTTGTAAGATTCAAAGTTGACTAGATTAAAATTCTTTCTGTACTTATTTTTCCTATGTCACTTCAAGATTGATTAATACATTCAATTATCCAGGATCCACACACATCCAATAGAATGGCTGCACACAAAGGGCAATTATGCAACATCCCTATCATTCTGGTTTGTGTCTTACTATTTTGATAACCATGCATAATTTTTGTCAAAGGAATTCGTAATATCAATAGTTGACATCTCCTAGTCCTGCATATGAGAGCATGAAAATGCCTTTCCTATCTCAATTACTTTATTTGCACCGTTCCATAGTCGGCCTGGTGACAGATTCATGAACTTCCCCTCCAGTATGGACTGGTAAAGCTACATACAGAAGCAATCAATTCTATCTTTTGAAAGATCCAAGGACACCATTTGTTATTTATCACTTCTCAAGAGGATGAATATGGATAGCATTTATGATAAACCATTATTGGAGTGGAACCTGTGTGTATGTTTGGAAGTAGTTCATGAACCTCGTATCCTGTAGCATCTCTCTATATTAATGCCACAATACTCATTCTCTGAGACTCCATCAGATTACCTTTTGAGTTCCAAAATATGCTTATGTACGGTTTAAGCATAGTACCAGTGAAATGTCAGTTTTGGTTTTTCTTGTTGCCAAATACATTGAATTATTATTGAAGCCAAGAACAGTGTCAATTGCAACTAAGCAGCCTTCCGTTTTCCCGACCAACTTACAACTATGGAATTCTAGCTTCCAACGATTGAAGGAATCAACCAACCAATTTCAGTTCTAACTCAAAATCCAAGTCATCTTAGCTAGTTTCAGGTCTAAGTTGAAAAATTGGAGGTATGGACAAGAAAAGAAGTCGAAGCAAGGAATTATTGAAGGGTAAAGCGGATGGAATCAGTGAACTTCCTGAAAGTATTTTGAGTCACATCCTATCCTGTTTACGAACAGAGGAGGCTGTTAGAACTAGCGTCTTGTTTGATGATGGAAAGAGATTTCGATACTCACCCAGGTGGAGGAAATGGAAACGGCAGAAGCAGCCTAAAAAGACAGATTTTATGAACTTTGTGGACAGAGTTCTTGCTCTTTCTAAGAATTCATCGATCAAAGAGTGTCACTTTTGTTTCTAAACGTGTATGATCCATTTCGTATGGAAACTTGGATCACTGCTGCTCTAAGCGCTGATGTCCAGAGGCTTCTTAGTTCATATGCTGGGGTCTTGGTATTTCCTCGTTGGTTTTTCACATCTAATTCTTTGATGAAATTACAACTCAAACTCTGCAAGATCAAAATTCTGATGAATATATCTTACTCAAACCTTCGTATCTTGGGTTTCCATGATGTTGAATTTCAGAATGATGACCCTTCTA